TTATGTTTTTGATATTTATCTCTTGTGCTGGTTAATTTTGTGTAAGATGGCCGGGCCACTGAGTGCCCAAATATTGGTTAAACAGTATTCCTGGTACATCTGTGAGGGTTTCTGAATGAGGTTAACATTTGAATCTGTAGACTGAATAAAGCAAATTGCCCTCCTCAATGTCATTGGGCCTCATCCAATCCACTGACAACCTGAGTAGGACAAGAAGGTGGAGTAAGAATTCTTTCTGTCCACTTGACTGTCTTTGAGCTGGGACATTGGTCTTCCCCTGCTTTTAGACGTGGACTGGAACTATACATTCATCTCTCCTTGGTCTCCAGCTTACTGACTGCAGATCCTGGGATTTCTCAGCCTCTACAACCATGAGCCAATTCCTTATTATAAATCTTTTTATATATTTATACATTTCAAATATATATGTATGCATATATACATATATACAGCCTATTGGTTCAGACTAATACATCCATATTGAAAAGAAAACAGTTCTTCATTTTAACTGCAGTGTAGTTGACCCTTGAACAATGTGGGGGTTGGGACGCTGACTCCTGCCCCAGTTGAAATCTGTGTATAACTTTTTTTTTTTCATGCCTACAGCACCTGGTCTTCCTAGGTGATCTCCTATCTAAGTACTAACCAGGCTCGACTCTCCTTAGCTCCGAGATCAGACACTGGGCTTGTTCAGGGTGGCACGGCCGTAGACCATGGACCATGGCTCCACTGGGGTGCGAACCCAGGACCTTCAGCGTGTAAAGCAGATGTGCTAACTACTACACTATGGAACCATGTCCTGTGTATAACTTTTGACTCCCCAAAAACTTAACTACAGTTGTCCACAGGGAACTGTTCTAGGACACTTTCCCCTGGCCCTGTGGCTATCAAAGTCTGTGGATGCTCAAGTCTCTTATATAAAATGGTGTAGAACAGTGTATGCAGTCAGCCCTCTGCATCTGAGGCTTAAAAATAGTTTTTGATCCATCGCAGTTGATTGAATCCATGGATGCGAAACCTAGTGATGTTGTAAAAAATCCTTGTGTAAGTGGACCCGTACAGTTCAAATCTGCATCGTTCAAGGGTCAAATGTATAATACTCCAATGTATGAGTAAATCAATTTATTCCATTCCTCTAGTGAAAGATCAATGAATAGGTCATTTCCATTTCTTTTTCCCCTCTTATAAATAGTAATGCCTTGAGTGTCCTTGTACATTTTCTTGGGCCCATTAATTATTATATTAACAATTCAAAAGAGGAATTATTAATATTTAGCTTTATTAGTTATCGTTGCTTTTCCAAAGTGGTTATATCAATTTCACTTCCACCAGCAACATTTCCACATACCGTTGGTGTGGTTTCTATTTGTTTGAATTTAATCATTGGTTTCCAGTTAGGTTGAACACCTTTTTATTGTGTTAGCACATTCATCCTCTAGGAATTGTCTATTCATAGCCCTTGCTCCCTGCATCCTGCCTTTTTTCTTGCTATTGCGTTGTCTTTGTTGTTTAATTATAATCTGGATACTAGTATTTTGTTAGTTATATGTGTTGCAGGTTTGACAGATCATCTTTTGGATTTTTTTTTATTTGGGGAGTGGTGGTGATGATGTAAGAAGCCTGCATTGTCTGCATCATCATGTATGTTACTCTAGAGTAGTCCCATAGATAATTGATCTGAGACCAATTTTCATGCAAGTTCTTACCTGGGGATAAGTTCTTACATGGGGTCGAGATGTTTCCCAGACCACACAGAAAGTGTACATTTAGGTTCTCAAATTCACATGAAGTGTTGGCCCAGAATTTGAAAATATCCTCATTTCCTGACCCCACAAGTCCAAGCATTCAAACTTCCTTGCTTTCTCCTTTCACCAATTGGATGGATTTTTGATAGTTTCCATCTTTTCACTAAGGCTGTTGCTCTTTCAGGGTCTGAGCTTTGACCAGAGGTCTCAGTTCCAGCTTCCTACATATGTGGGGCCAGTTGTATCTCTTGTCGGCATTAAAATCCAAGTCCTTAAGTTATATGCCCCTTATCCTTCCAGTAATTTTATCAGCTGTTTGCTTTTTGCTTTTTCAATTCCTTTGTGGTTTTGGTGTCCCTTTCTTGTAATCTCAGCTATGCATTAAAAAAATAATAATAATAAACTTTATCCATCATTTCTAGATGTTTGTCTCGGGTTATTTGTTTGCATTAAGCCAAAATACTTTTCATATAGTCTCACATCTCTTCTAAACAGACCCTTCCATTCCTGTTTTCCAGGCAAAATTCTACTCATCTTTAACGTCTCAATGCCACTTTCAAGCTTTCTCTCACCTTGCCAAGAATAATTTAGAATAGTTCTTAGTGCATTGTACTGTGTTCTCCCCCTTACTGGAGTATGAGTTCTTTGAGGATAGAAACCAGATCTTATTCATCTTTGTGTCCCCAGCTTCTGCCACAGTGCCTAATATTAAGTACACACTTAATCAATGTTTTATTGAACTGAAAATATCTCCCTGCATGGATATTGTATTTAAAATCTGAATAACTTGGTTTAAAATCAGCATATTATCTATCGCCCACTAACTAAACATATATTTTTAGGATTGTGATAATGTGAGAGCTCATGATACATGATAAGCAGTCTAAGATGTTTGTATTCTTTGAACAACTTCTAACAGTTTCCTGTGGTAGATTGCATTTTCTAAGATGAATGCAACTGTATCTCCTATCCCACATGTTCTTCTACATGACCTTGCCACTCCCTCATCAAGAGGTAGAGTCTATCGCACCACCCCCCTGAATCTAGGTGGTCCCTGTGACTACTTCGATTGATAGAATACATAGGAAGGAACATGTGCCATTTCTAGATGATACTCTTAAATGGCCTAGCAACTTCTGCTTCCTGCTTCTTGGAACATAACCACTTGTGCAAAGCCCAAAACATGGAGAGGTCACGTGCAGGTAACTTAGTTGATAGCCCTGAGTTCCTAGGGAACAACCAGCATTAATTTCTAGCCAGGCTAGTAAATCACCTTAGACATCCAGCCCTGTTGAGTCTTCAAATGACCAGCCGCCATCTGACTGAAATCACATGAAATATTTCCAGCTGAGCTAAGTCAACCAACCAAACCATGAGAAAGAGTTCTTTTTAGCCACTGTATTTCAGGGTGATTGGTTACATAGTAATAGACAATCAACACTCGTTTATGGAATGGGGATAATAATCCCTACTTTAACAGAAGTATTAAGTTCACTTTTTGATGTATGTGAAATTATTTTCTAAGCGGTAAAGCATTACACAAACTTATTTTTTCAATAAACAATAAAGTTAAAACCCGTTCATATTCAATGGAGGAAAGGTAATGCCTTGCTTCTTTTACAAGAGAACTATATTCCTAGTTCTCTGGTAAGGATGATGTGAGTCTATATCTAATCTGCTCTCCATTGATTTGGGTCCTTCCTCTCAGGCATGAAATCTTCCCAGGCCATCTATAAAACTAGCCTTATGACAATCTTGCTGCCCCAATAACACTATTATCTTCTAGTATTCAAATCCCTTAGCACTGTCTTACCCCCTACTCCATCTATGTGTATAGAGTTCCTTCTCAGAACAAGACCCTGTTCGTATAATTGACCCTAATCTCAATTCACTCATCCAAAGTCAACTCTAATCAGTCTATGCTTATGGTTAAATGTCTCATCAACATCTGTTCTTCCACATTATGAAGTCTCGGGAAGTGGTATAGTGGTTAAGAACAGAAACACTGTACACAGCTATGCCACCCTGAACAAGCCCGATCTCGTCTGATCTCGGAAGCTAAGCAGGATCAGGCCTGGTTAGCACTTGGATAGGAAACCACCTAGGAAGACCAGGTGCTGTAGGCGTAAAAAATAAAAAATAAGGGATTGTAAACTGACAAGATCCTTGCAGTCTGTGAGGTCATTGCCTCGCTTAAAAAAAAAAAAAAGAGAGACACTGGGTTTGACTCTTCACTAGCTGTTTGACCTTAGGCAAGTTAACCTCTTTTTGCTTCACTTTTATTTTATGTAAAGTACTTAATGCAGTGCCTGGCATGTAATAGAGCTATGAGTTAGCTATTATTATTTTTATTATTGCACTTGGTTACATCTTTTGTCAGATTAACTAGGCCAACAGACCCAGATTATTATTTTTTTAAAACATTACATTTACAAAGCAATTGTTTAAAATTCAGAAGGCAAAATATATATCTTGTCTGACTTTCGAAAGCGTTTTGCTTGTATTTTACAATTACTAGTCTATTTAGTAATATGGCAAAAGTTGAGGAACTAAATCTAAGACTTTCCTTAGTCTTTTTTAGTCTTCCTGACCATCTCTGACTAAATAACTAAGTAAAATTTTTTAGAACTTAAATTTTCCCATGGCCCATAGTCTTTTTAAAATCCAGACACTCAGTAAGGTACGTTTAGTAGGGTCAATATCCCAATAATGTCAATGGACATCATGATTCATAGAAAAACCTATTTCTTTCAGTTTTAATCCATCTCCCTGACAATGAAGCACTCCATGTTTGAATGTACACAAGAGCATCTGGAAATATTTGATAATATGAATATTCACTAAATGGAAAACTATCGTGAGAGATGGTTATTACTATTGGTAATTGTGCCAAGACCTCAACTAGAGAAAAATCTGGATTAGGAAGACTGTTTCTCCATGGGCTAAAAGAGAAAAGAGAAGTAAAAGAGAAAACATCTGGCCAGACTCATTTATTGGAGTCTTAAAATGTTAACTGGCAGTCTCTGTATTGATGAAGTATATGTTTTTATCTGTTCAGTACTTTTTGTGTCCACTATACATGTTTATTTTTTCTTAAAACATGAAGTCCTGAAATGTAGGCATTCTCCTCCCAGCATGCACAGTAAAGAAAATATTGTGTACAAGGACATCTGGAATCAGACCTGAAAAAAATTCTTAATTAGCTTATGGATTTAGGGAATTGGGGATAGAGTCACTGGAGAGACTGAGACAGCAGAGGAGGGTTGAAGCACTTTTAATCACAGAAGAGTAAACAAAAGTATAAACTGTTAACAGCTCACCCAGTGGCTGTTGTCCTCCTCCAGCCCTCAGCTCACCCTCTCCCACCCCCCACTCCCTGCGTACCATTGAGTAAAGAGCAGGGTATCAGCAGCTGTCCCTGTCACTGCCAGGTGGTAGGAAGGGGATCTAGCTAGGGGTTATAACAATCTTGGCCATCCATCCATGGTTGTCTGTTTCTACACAACTTCATAAGAAATATTCCAGCTCCAAAGGAGGAATAGTGCAGAAACCTGTAGTTGAATTCGGCTGCTCCATTCAGATGGCCAGAGCCTCAAAAGCCATGGGCAACAAGGGAGGGGACAGTCCAGAGCCAGCATAATTCAAGATGCAGCCAAATCTGGGATTGAGGTGAGTTCAAAGGGGACAAGGCAAGGCCTAATGGCCGCAGTCCAGAATTGTGCCCCAACCCAGGCAATGAAACTCACGCATATGCACAAATGCACATGCACACGCACACACAAACATACACACAGAGCAAATAATATTACTGAAAAAACCTGGAGGCTATTAAATACAAAATGGCAAAGTTTTTTAAAAACAAAAAAAATGAAAATATTTGCTTCTGTGATTCTTCTCAGTGCCCTGCAGACTCCTAGTCACAGGAGTTTAGATGTGGGGCGGCCCAAGAGGAGTAGGCTGTCAGTGGCCCTACAAGTCCATGTGTGCTGAAGTCCCCATACCGACCATCTTACTCTTCAGCCCAGTAACTGCCTCCCACGTGACCATTCACCCAATTGGCACCATTGCTGGAGCTGCTGTCACAAGGCCTTTTCGTGTAGGTGGTCACATCTTCTTCCTCTGAGCTGCTCTCCACGTCACTGCGATCATCCTTAGACACCTGGGTGCCATGGGGCCAAAGGTAGAAAATGTGAAGATAGACCTTTTGGGGTACTGTAAGAAAGACTACGCTGTTCCCAAAATGGCCTACTTTCTGGTGGCACCTGATTAAAAATATTATCTGGACCATGGCTACTGTTATGGATATCCCTTGTCTGCTTTCTGCATTTCTCTCTCATCACCTCTGATTCTGTTCTCTATGAGATAAGTGGCTGCTTTGGTAGAGGGGTGTATCTTTCAGGACCAGCCTAAGAGAGCTGAAATCAATCAGAGTCTTGATTTAGGTTCGAGGGAAAAGCCACACACCCTTTCTTCTCTTCCACCTCAAAAAACAGAAAAGGCCAACAAGAAGAGTACATATGGTTGTCTTCATTGCCTCTATCTTTTGGTGGTTGTGGCCACTGTAGTTACTCATATTGTTTATCCTGAGTTTTGCTCTGTCTGCAAAGCTGAAACATACTGGGCCTTTTTCAGTAGTTCTGCTCTTCGTGGACTCAACTATCAATACCCTATGACACTGTTTTTCCAATCTTCTCCCCTTCCCAGTAGCAAGATCACTTTTCTCATGTAACATGGGCATGCCCAAGATCCACAGGCTGAAAAGAAAAGCGGATTGGCAGTCAGGGAGAAAAGTCCCAATCATGCTACTGTCTGTGAATCTTTACTGCTTAACATTAGCGTTTTTGTTTTGTATTTTCAAATGAAGGGTTTGGATTAGAGTAATGTTTTCAAATCTAAACTACTCTGCAAATCAAGCAAAGAATTTAAAATTCTCTACCATGAACCATAAAAAATAAGAGAGAAACCCAGCGAGACCTATGTCAGACTTCTGACCTCCAGAACCAAAGGATAATAAATTTCTGCTGTTTCAATAAATAAATAGAAGGGAGTGAGAAGGAAAACTACAATTGTTGTTGCCAAAGAAGTAGGGCATTTGCTTTGGTTAGCTCTAAGATTCTATGGTTTATAAGAGTTGTTGACCTCTGAAACCAGGTAACTAATTGATTACCTGATCTTTAAGAATTTTCTACCAGAGTAGAATGTTTCTAGATTTGAGGTAAAGGGAGGCTCAAAAATGGGTGGGGGAGAGGGGAAAGTAAAGAAAAACAGAAAGGAAAAAAACCAGTAGACTATATTCTTGCCTCCATTTAGGAAAAAGAATGTGACAGCTTGAGCTCTAGTCAACAATGGCTCCACGGGGTGAGGAGATGAGGCATGCTCTCGGATAACACGGGGCAGAAAGGAAAGCAGGAAGGAAGAGAAGCACATTCAGACAGATATGCTTCACTGACTACTAGAAGCACAGATACACTTACATGCAAGAGATGAAACTGTCCAGCTCCCACCAGGCATAGAAAAAAGGAAGGAGGTGAGAAAAGAGTGGAGAGTACAGAGTCTGGGTCTAATCCTTCTTGGATAAGTCACCTGGTCAGGAAAGAAAAGTAGGGGAGAAAAAAGATGTCCAGTAGCTACAGCAAAATGTGTAGGCATACTGAGCCAAGTTTTGTAACCAATTGCAGCCATAAGAACAGTGAAATAAGAGATCATATATACCCAGGTAACATTTCATCCCTTTGTCCTAGAGTGTGTCCTCTAGCAGAGTCCCTTCCCCTTGGGATTCTGTATTACTGAAGGCTAATCCCCAGCCCTTGGGCTTATTAAAGCCTGACTGCTTCAGAACGCAGATTCACTTATGCATTTTATCATTAAATGACACCTTTCTTTGTACTTTTGGGCTCTGGGAATAAGATGGGTATTTGAAACCTTAAATATCCATCTCACTTAGGACACTTGCTTCATGTAACAGGTGAGACCAGTACTTAGTCTCTTACACAAGCCATATCTTGAACATCACAGTGTGGTCATCTTGGGGTAGCTTATGAATTAACATCACTCCCTAGACAATCTCTGCTTCTATATAGTTTGTATCTTGGAGCTCTGTATATGATTTTCTTTGAAAAAAGGCTCCCCAGCTGAAAAATGAAAATATGAAATCCATGGAAATAAGCTGGTAAGGGGTAGGAAGTGGCTGAGGCCATCTCTAAAACTTAATCCTGTTCATTATTTAACAAGTCATTCCTAAGGGAAAAGAAGAAGGCAGATCCTTCCTCTTACATCTAAGTCTTAAAAGGTTAAATACTCATAAAGAAGGTAAAAACTCAGGAGCTGTAGGCTTTTCTGAGTTTGCTTGTGTAGATAGAGCTCACTAGGGTAGAATGAGAGAGAAGGTCTATCGAGTAATACAGCTCTTTCTACCTAGCCCCAAGGAAAGAAGCCATCTTTCATCCTCACCTTTCCTCGGATCAAGGCTTTGAAAGCAATTCGTGCTATTAGGTAGGACCAGATGACATGCAGAACCTGTAGGATCAGGAGAAGGCCATTGAAGAGCCACCAGGAAGGATAGGGCCCGATCATCTCCCAACTCTCAAAGAGGGTCGTGTTCAGAATCCTAGAAGAGAGAGGCCAATGGTCAGATTCTAGAGTCAGGGCCAGGCAGACAGGGATGAGGCTGAGTTCCCTGGGAGGCAGAACCTGTGTGTCCTCTCCCCATACCCTCTACCAGCTGAAGCACCAGGGAGAAAAGAATAAAGAAAGGGGGCCTATGGAGTTTTCTATCTTTAGAGACAGGGGAAGATTTATAAATCCTAGGAATTGATGGAATAAGTCATATTATTAATCACTTCAAATATGCAGTTTCACACAATTGGGACAGCAATTTCAATCATGATCCTAGGAATTACTCAGACCCTTAGACACATACAGGATAGTTGGTAACTAATTACCTCAGACTAAGGAAAATCTCCAACCCAAAGAATCACTGACTTGGTAGTGATTGTAGAAGTGAGAGTGGTGTGTGTGTGTGTGTGTGTGTGTGAAAGTGAGTGTAGGGGAGAAGGTGTAGAGTAGGAAAACAAGCAAGAAGAGACTGAGAATTTTGTAATTGCCACAAAAGAAGATAAAGGAGTTACTTGGGCATGAAGTGAGGACTGCTCCTCAGAGATGAGTCAGGAAAGCCACAGCCAAGTGAGTTGGATGCTCTGAGCCTGGATCTCATCTAACTAGAAATATTATGCAAGGTAAATGAGGTCCTGAGAGTCCATAAAGGGTCAGGTTAGGCCAAGGAAAAAGCAGGGCAATAAAGTTCTTGATGGTCTGTTCCCTAAACTGACAAAAGGTCTCATGAGCTACATATCTGACACAGCTCCACAGCCCCTAACACTTACCAGAATGGATAGATTACTAGACGAGTGACCATAAAAACAGCACTGAAGATCACAAAAAGGGTGTCACAGAGACGCTGATACTTGGCGTAATTGGCCAGCTTGGCTGCCTGGAAAAGGGAAGATAAAAATTGAGTTGAAGAGAAAGCCAGTTCTCAGATAGGAGCAAAGAGAAAGAGAGGAATAATGAGGAAAGAGGGGTTGGTGTCTTACCTCTAGCAAGAAGTCTGAGGAATCATGTAGACACATGACCAGAGTTCCTACCCGAACCATGTTGTTGATGTAAGAGAAGGTGATGAGCCCAATGGTGGCCAAGTGATGCACAAACATGATCAGGAAGTCCTAGGAAGAAATGGAAATAGAAGAGGCAGGTATGGGCAAGGCCACAGAGATGCTAGCCAACTCAATGTCCGGCATTGTCCTCTGAAGATCTTATCTTACCCTCAGAAGTCTCATTTTGTTTAAACTCTCCATTAAGGAGCTGCCTAGCATTTGACCCCAAACTCTCTACATCATTGACTGACCCATAATCTACATTAATATATCTCAAAGCACAGAAAGGAGCAATTTTCTTTGGTAGTTGCAGAATATGTAGAGCATGGAGGCTGAGCTAACACTTAGAAATAATTTCCCAGGTGGTAGTCAGACAAATAAGCCTTAGATATTCTTGAGATTCTAAGACTCTTCTGCTTTGAAGATGGAAATTTCAACCAAAGGAACCTAATAGAAAAGAGAGGTTTGTGGATGGGCAAAGCTAAACTCTTTTAAAGAGTTTCAGAGAAATGCTAAATAATTTATCTTACTGCAAGCATTTCCTATTTTCACATTTAAAGCTCTAATTTCCTCTTGGTTCAGATGGCAAGGTTAGACCTGGGGAAATCTCTAAACATCTGAATTATTGGACATAGCTAATAAATACTTCTCAGCCCAGTGAGAGACAGAGGGTAGGAGAAGGCAGGTGAATTTGGGTCAGAGAAACAAAGATGAAAAATCTACATTCTCCACTTAGACAGATAAAACGGTATATTCTAGTTCTTGAGTTGGGGGTGAGTTTACAAGTATACATTATAGTATGTTTTAAAACCTACATATATATTGCAAACTTTTTTATATATGTGTCATGTATTAAAATAAAATTTTAATAAGGGGACCTTTCACTCTCCTGACCATAGGAGAGTGAAAGGCATTTGAGAGTATCAAGCTTCCAACAACTAATAACCCACTTTAGTTTCAGTCTATTCTCATATATGGTAACCTTGGTTTTCCTCACCGAAGATAACCACAAGTTAGTAAAAGAGTAGTGTTAGAGCTGCTGGAAGTACATTATGTCAGTTGGACACCAATAAGAGGTAAAGATTCTGCCCTTTCTATCTGCTTATTAAAAAAGTCATTTCCAACTTTGTCATTATGTGGGCAAGTCAACTCCTTTGAATCTTTGTTTCCTAATCAACAGCAAGAAAAGGGTAAATGAAATCATCTAAAACTCCTTCCAGTTGAAATTCTTTGAGTAAGTGGAGTCACCAAGAAGGGAGAACAGAGAGAGAGCAAAGGTCCCTAATGCCAAACAAAAGCCAGATCTTGCCTTTCTGGAATCAGGCCTTTTCGTGGATCGGGCCTTGCTATCCCTAATTCTAACTAGTTTCCTGAGCTTTATACAAGTAAGAACCTTGAAAAAAAATAAGGAAAAGGATATGCTTCTCAGTTGGTTAACTGTTTTCACCCTGGCTACTCTGAATGCCTTAAAGATACTTCATCTTTAGTCAAGACTCATTTCTGAGAACATTACAAAGAGCTAATAGTCCCATCAAACCAGCTTTCTCCCTCTTTTGCGGTCCCAGTGAGGGCGGATAATCCATCACAATGGCAGTAATGATAGCTGCTAGGAATGAGGATGCATGAAGTTAGGGAACAGAGGGAGCCAATATTCTTACCTTTCTTTTAATGTCTGTAAACTGAGAAAACATGAGAGACCAATAGAAGGCCAATTCCATGATATAATAGTTATAAAGCCCACTTGTGAGAGGCTGGAAGAGAGAAAGAAGTAGTCAGAATACCAGCTAGTCAAAGATTCATTCCGTCTCTGCAACTTTCTCTGCCTTGGAGGATCAATAACCAAAATTATTAGATATCTTTCCTCCCTATCTTCTAAAGTCTGCAATAGCTAACAGACTTTAGGTTGATGCGGAGGCTTAAACCTCTTCCCCCTGCCCTTTCACATACATATCTTTAGCTCTCATCTTTTAGAGATCAGATAAGGTTAACACATATTATATCATAATCAAATCAGTGTATTTGAAATTCTGGACAATTAATGCTTTTCAGGGGATTAAATATACTCAGGCCTTCCTTTCTTCCATCCTGTTAGCAGACACCTGACATTTTCCCAGTATATATATGAGAACCAAAATGCTCTTAAGGGTACTCCAAGTTACCCTTGATTCCACAGGGACACCTGAACCAGAAAGTACTGCATTAAGTGCTAGGAAGCTGCTTTTTTTCAAACCCAATTAGGTTGAATATAATAGGGAACTAGAACAAAAAGATCACTGGATTTCACAGCTATGGGGGCCCTAAAATAGATATCTTGAAGATATGTCTTAAAGAGATTCGGCCCCTAACCCCTCAAGAATACCAAGGAAATGTGCCATCTGCCCTGGGACTGCACTCCTCTCCACCCACCTTACACACACACACATAAAGTTCCTTGTTTTGAAAGGGTTCAGATCCTACCTGATATGGATAGCTATGCCAGCACTGTCGGGTGTCCCAAAACCAAGGCGACTAAGAGAAAACAGATAATTCACATCAGTCTCCTCTGGCTCACCTATATAATCCTGTTTTCTTTATGCTATGGGCAAAAGAGAGATGGGAAAGAAAAAGGAATTCCTCTTGGCAGAATTTAGGGATCCTGAAAGAGTCAGTAAATGACTAGGTTTTTCTTCTAGAACAAGAAAGTGTGATTACAAACAGAAAACCTATGCTTTGAGGTATATAGGATAGTTTTTGGAACCATCACCACCTGGGATATAGGACATGGGGAGGCAGGAAGACAGTAATTCCATTTGACAACTGAGATCTCCATGCCAAAGATTCAAAAGTCAAAAGTAAAAATTTCTAATGTAGTTTCAATTACGTCCATTTTATCTAAGTTGTTAAATTTATTACTATTAAATTGTTTGTAATATTGCCTTATTATCCTTTTAATGTCTACAGGATCTGTAATGATAATCCCCTTTTCTCCCTAATATTGGTAATTTGTTTTCTCTTTTTTTCTAGGGGTCTATCAACTTTAATTAAACCCTTCAAAGAACCAACTTTTGGCTTTATTAGTTTTCTCCATTGTCTGTCTAATGCCTATTTCATTAATTTTTGCTTATCTTTTTCTATTTCTTTCCTTTAACTTACTCTGGGTTTATTTTGCTCTTCTTTCTCCAGATCTTAAAGTGGAAACTTAGATCACTGATTTAAAGCTTTCTTTTTCCTAATATAAACATTTAAAGTTATAAATTTCCCTCTAAGCATGCTTTAACTGCATCCCACAAATTTTGGCATTTTTAGCATCATTCAATTCAAAAATACTTTTTAATTTCCCTTCTGATTTCTTGTTTGATCCATGGATTATTTAGAAGAACTATTTAACTTCCAAATATTTTCTAGATATCTTATTGATTTCCAATTTAATTCCATTATGTTGGTCTGAGAATACATTTCATAAGATTTCAATATTTTAAAATTTACTGAGATTTATTTTATGGCCTAGCATACGGTCTATTTTAGTTGATGTTCCATGTGCACTTGAAAATTATATATATTCTTCAGCTGTTGGTGTAGTGTTCTATAAATATCAATTAGGTCAAATTGGTTGACTGTGTTGTTCAAATCCTTATAGCCTTGGTGATTTTTTTTGTCTAGTGATTTAGTCAATTACCAACAGAAGAGCATTAAAATCTCCAACTATGATTGTATATTTGTCTATCCTCTTCCTTCAGTTTTGCATCTTTTTGCCTCATGTATTTTGAAGCCTCAATTATATCATTTAGATAAAAACAGTGTGGTATGGTGAAAAAAAGATGGAATCAGGAATCAAAAACCCTGAAATTCTTCTTTGAATCTGACAATTAAACGAAAAACTGGAATAATATCTGTTTTAACCACTTTAAAGGGTTGGTTACTAATTCCATTTCTGCAACTGTCTCCTTCTTGGAAGAACAGGATTTTTGTCAAGTGCTTTGTAAACCATCACGTACTCTGCTCGTTTAATCAATACTAATTATTATTATTAGCACTATTTAGGAGAGAAGAGTAGTTTTACGAGTGTACTGAAGTCAGGCCCCACACAGAAGACAATCTATTTAGCATACAAACCTGGGCTATAGGCATCACAGAGGAAAAAAAAAGGGGGAGGGGATAAAGATCTAAGGTATTTAACGCTTATCTCTAGAGATGTAGGCATGATTAGAACCCAACAAATGACAGAAAAAATTCAGACTCACCGACCAGAGAAATCTAATTCCGTAGCAGAATATACATAAATAAAAAGTGAATCGCCACCTGAGTGGGCAAAGAATAGGGGTTAGATGAATATTCTTTCAAAAGAAAGTCTTTAAGACTAAAGAAGTCAAGACAGCAGATTTGGTGATGACCGTTACTGGTGAGAAAGAAGATAAATCCTCAGAATAAGGACAAATACTGTTACTTCAAAAGCCAAAAAGACAGAGACATCTTCCAGCCTCTATTTAAAATAGATTTCACAATTGTATACTGGCTTTAGTCTACTTTTCTTCCATATCAGACTCCTTGATGATAGGGCCTAATATATATATTTTTTTGTATGACAATGATAAACACAGTGCTGTGTCCAGAGGGTACTTAGTAAAAACTCAGTAAAATCAACTATAGTATGTCCAGAAAAGGGATGCTTCCAACCAAAATGTCAATTTAGAGCAAGCTGGTACTATTGCTATCAAGGTGTATAGGGTGTGCATGTCTACCTACATAAGTGCAATTACAGGAATTCACTCCCAATCTATTTGGGAAAGGTGAACAAAATGGAACTACATCTAGCTTAGTGGCAAGCATGTCCAAGAAACTAAGGGTGACCAGTCTTCCAGTTCTCTTCTTTCCTGCCTATAAGTCACCCCTCCAGATATTCGACTGCTGTCCTAACAATAGAAGTGATTTCCAAAACAACAACAACAACAACAACAACAACAAACCTCAGTCCAGTCATACCCCACCCTTCTCCTCATTCCCCACCTCTCTCCGCACACCTACATGCTTTCACAGAATTTAGTGAGCGTTGGGGGCTTGTCCTGATTCCTCCGATGGCGAAACCAGCATTGGATTTTTCGGACGTCCCAGTCCAGTTGCTTTGACAGACCCTCCAGCCTTTTCTCATCAGGATGCTGTAGATGTATGACCAGAATCAGAACATTGCTTTTTCTTCAAATCTCTCATTAAATCCCTTTGACTGAGTGGCAAAGGGGTGATGACTACGGTGCTTAAGTGATGTTTATCTTTTTAGGTTTCAACCAAAGTCATTTTTAGTAAGAAGTCCTATTTCACACATCAAGGACCTTATCACTCACCTGTCCACATCCTTGTTTGGTCTTCTCCCTCCAGCCCAAGCTGAGTAAAAAAATATATTAAAAACCCAAACTACAAAGTACCTTCCACATCTTAATTATGCAACTAGGTAATGACAAAAACTGGAGCAGGGAGAAACAAAATCAAGATATGTGTTTCTGGAGCAGGGAGGGGTGGTGATGCCTGCTAGGTCTAAAACTCAAATGTATGTAAACTTGACTTAGAACCTGGCCCAAAGGTCTTTATTTCCCTGAGGAGATAAAGTTCTCCTCATAGCTATATGGAGTACCCAAATGTGAAAGACCATTCTATCCTATTCTTATCCTTGGAGATACTTGTTCTCTATCCTCCCCTGCCCTGGGGGGCAACCCCTCATATGAATCTTCTGTTTCTCTGCCTACTTACCTTGGTAATAGATATGAACACCTTTTCAAGGATGGCATTGGGTTGAGCCTGATAAGGACCACTGTCCTGGATGCCAATATGGAGTGCACAGGGTTTGGCAATAAACCTGTAATGGAGAAAATCCAAAAGCCAAATCTAAATATGGTTTTCTAAGCATGAAGGAAAGATCCTGATTAAGGGACTAATGGCAGGACAAAAGAGAAATGCCTGGCTGGGAGCCAGGACTTTGATTTCGTCCTGGATTCTGTCACTGACTCACTTGAGAAGTGACCTGTTTAAGAAATATTGGACCATAAGCTCTCTTTCCATTTTTCCCTGGCTTCCCTTATCATATCTTGAGCTTTAGAGTCAAACCACTAGTCTGCCATTTACTACCTGTATGAACTCGAGCAGTTTATTTAATCTCAGGTTTTTTTCATCTTCAAGATGAAGATAATATCAACATCCTTGCTACTCAACATAAGTTCCATAGACTAACAGCATTATTGGCTTTTCCTAGAAGCTTTTCAGAAATGCAGAATCTCGAACCCCATCCCAGACCTACAAAATCAGAATCTGCCTTACTAAGATCCCCAGGTAATTCATATGACCATTAAAATGTTAGAAGTACTGGTCTACTTTACGAGAATCTTGTACATTCGATGAGATAACACATATATGAAGCCTGGCACAAGGGAAGTGCTCAACAGCTTTCCTTATATTGAAGGATCATCTTGATCTTAATTGGAGGGAAAAGTAAAACTGAGACTGAGCTCTTCCTAAATACAAGTATCCTGGGTCACAGCCACCTTCTTGCCTAATAAAAAGATTATGGAAATACTTACTTTCAGGAGCCCTGAAGAAAGAAATCAGGAAACTAGTAAAAGTGAAAAGGAAATTACCTATTTACTCAGTTCTCATCCCAGATCTACTACTAATAATGTCAAATAAATGGTCAAGTCACTTAAACCTTGGGTCTTGGTTTCATCATCTAAAATAGGTTGTACGAAATGATTTCTAAGATTTTTTTCTATATCTAAGATTCCATAGTATGACCATTGGTTGCAGTTAATTTCTAACTTTTATATCTTTGAAAATTGAGAAACTAGTTCCTGGTTCTTCAAGAAAGATCTTCTGTTCCTCCACAACCATAGAGTTTTGTGAGCACCACTCAGCTCTGGGAAAAGCTCTATAAGCCACTTTGAGGATAAGTCAAAACCAGGTTTAGCTCTCTTAGCATCTTAGGGAGTCCCATAATGAAATTATGAAGGGGAGACGTAAGATGGAGTGCTCTTGACCTATTTTCTTGGTCTGCATTTGAATCCAGAATTTATCTCTAAAGGAGGAGACTAAGAAACTTTGTTTATCATTTTCCTCTATAGAAAGTTCTTTTACCCTTATCACCAAAGTTCTTGAGCCATGGGGAAATATTTATTCAGGACACAAAGTTAGCCACTGAAATCTATTCTCTCCTCTCTTTTACACAGGTGGAACAAAAGTTACATTCAAAGGCCAATGATAGTAGATACTTTAACATATATTTCCTGGTATATTTTCTGTGTACAAATATTTTAAGATTTCACTCATGTTTAAACTCATTGTGAACACAGAGAATACATAAAGAATACTGCTTTTGTATCTACCAAGGTTCTGTGCTCAGTAGTTGCTCAGTAACTGAGAAGTGACAGGTCCAGCAAATCCCACCCTTGCTCTACTGGAGGTCAGTTTGGACCCAGGATTGATCAGTATCCAGAAGAGTAATTAAAGCAGTCATTCTTCACCATTGAGTTGGTGCCGTATCAGAGACAAGATCACTGAATCGTCTCTCTCTGTCTCCTCTCATCTACATTAATTATATGAAGAGGTAGATCCAAAACCAAAATCCAGCCTTTCCAATTCTGACTCTTACCCCCAATCTAGGTCTCTTACTTAATCCAGAAGCATTCAGGTGACTAAAGGCACTGGAATTAGACAGATTGTACCAGCTAAGAGACTTTGTGAAAGTTCATTTTAAAGATGAAATGACACATGATGCATGCTTAGCCCAGTACCTGACACCTAGTAAACAGTTTAGTCTGAGAACTCCCTGATGGTATCGATGGTAGAAGGCAAAAAGACCAAGAAGTCCTCTTTCATACAACAGGGACAGGTTTGTACTCTGCTCACTTGGGTGGAGCCAAGATAATTTTTTTATTATCTGGACTTTGGAGTAAACTTAATGTCCCTACAGTTGCCATTAGCTCACATCCTGCCCTCATTAATTCAGAGTTCAATGAAAAACATAAAGCTACTGGCGGTCAGCTACAGCTGTACAAACCCTAAGAAAATTTATGTACTTGACAAATATTTAATGGGCATCTATTTTGTACTATATCACGAAGCCCAAATCCAAAAATACAGACTTATGGTTGAAAAAGAATTTTTCTGTGGTAAAAGAAATTAAATACACAGATTTATTTATGCACTTAATGAATTATCTTAATGAAGAAAGTAAATTATTTTCAATCAGAACTCTTGAGAAAGTTCAGACTTGATCATGCATTCATTCTACATCATTTACCTGGCATTTAGTATAACTTATAAAATAAGTATTTAGGTTGTCAAACTCCAGACAAAGAGCCGGGTATTCATCCTTTCCACTAGATCAGCACTTCTCAAAGCATACTCTGGAGACTCCCAGGGGTCTCACAGACCCTTTCAGGAGGTCTGCAAGGTTAAAACTATTCTCATAATAATTCTGTAACTTCATAATAATTATTTTCTCTCTCGTTCTCTCATGAGTGTACAATGGAATCTTCCACAGATTACATGACATATTGCAAAAGACTGAATGCAGAAGCTGACATGAGAATACAGCTGCCAGACAGTAAAGAGACTTGCAAAAATATAAAATAATGCTATTCTTCTCAAATTTTTTTTGTTTTGGAAAATAGTTATTTTTCATAAGGCATTAGTTATATTACCAATATAATCAACTTATTTTCATTTGTAAAAGAATTAATAAATATATTAATTTTTTTTCCATTTTAATTTCTAAAACAGTACCTATTGATAGATGATATCCATATAAACAAAAACTCTTGAGGTCCTTGATAATTTTTAAGACTAAAGGATTCTTGACATAGTTTACAAACTGCTGTGCTGGATGACACTGAGAAATCAAACTTGTGATTTTCTGTCCTCTCAAGGATCAGTTATGTTTTAAAATAATTTGTAAGACTAGACTTCCTTTTGCCTGCAGGGCTGAATAAGTAGGCACTTAGTGGTCCATAATGGTAAGGTGCTCCTTTCCACTTGGCATCCAGGAACATGAGTCTAAAGACCCAAGTTGATTGTAATATATCGGTCCTGCTTTGTAGAGATCATGTCCTTCTGCCTTTTTCTTGCCCTCCAGGTACATGGCAGCAGCTGACCTAAGCCTGGGTTAGTTAAAGTGAAGTTAATGCTTTGCTTTTTCATACCAGAGACAGGAGCTATACTAACAATGCTATCTATGTGATTCACTAGAACACTATTTATGGATATGAACTATACATAAATATATGAGAAAGTCTAGATCGAGCTTCCCAAGTGGTATATCATGGGCTATACTTATGCTGAGATATTGCTCTTAGTTCTCAGGGTGGTCTATGGGGCCTGTGGTAGCCAGAAATCCTTAGCCTTTGACCTCATATACCCCTCTGTGCAATGTACATATTATTTTCTATGTGTGCAGCAACATAATTTAGTTGGGAAGCATTGGCTTAGATCAATCTTTGGAAAAATATAAAGTGTCAAAATTGATATATAAAAAGAAAAATAACCATCAAAGAAATTAAAATAGGTAATGAGATGAAGGGAAAAATACAATAAAAAGAAAAAAGTCTTATACAGACTGATGAGGACGGTGTATCATTAGGTGAAGAGTATTGAGTAACTAAACTGCCTGAATGCTTCTTCCTCCCGCTCCCCTCACGGTGGGCGGGTCTGATGAGGACGGTGTATCATTAGGTGAAGAGTATTCAGTAACTAAACTGCCTGAATGCTTCTTCCTCTAGCTCCCCTCACAGAGAGGGAGCGTGGCGCGCGCGCGCGCGAGAGAGAGAGAGAGAGAGAGAGAGAGCGGGAGAGAGATTAAATACAGAGATCCAATGGTGAGAGAGAGCGCGCGAGCGAGCTCGCGCGCGAGCGCTGAGATGTTTAAATAAAGATTATTAGAGCCAAATGAAGTCTGTTTAGAGACTTTAATCCTTAGGTACATAAGCAGCACTTGAAAATTCTCCCCTGAGACATATGTACCCTTAAGAGGCAAATGCAGAGTCCCACAGAACAGAGATTCAGAAAGTCCTTTCCCTGTACAATTGAATTTTTATTAAACCAATCACATTAAAAATCTGAGTGGCTGCCGTAGGGTGGAAAGAAAAGAAAGTAAAAAGGCAGAAGGAACAGCATGTACTAAAACTAAGATAAGAAACGAAGTGCACTTAGAGAACTGTGCAATGTATAAACTGGGGGTGGGGGTGATGACAGTGACAGGAGTAAAGAACTATACAGGTGGTTAGAGACCAGATCACAGATGCCTTGTGTGTTATGCTAAACTTTAACTTTATCTAATAGCTGATGGAGAGTCACTGAAAGGCTTTATAGGCTGGGGGCAGAGAAGAGATGAATGGATCTGTATATTAGTAAAGAACTCTCATTAGCTATTGTAAAAAAAAAATCCATGCTATAAGTGACAAAGCACTGAACTAAGGCTGTAGAAATAGAAAGGACAGATTCATGAGATGCTGAGGAAGTAAAATTGACAGGACTTGGTGATTGAATAGATGTAAGAGGCAAAAGAAAAGAAAGAGTCAAGTGAACCTTCCATGTTTCTGGCTTGGGAAACTAAACTGGTTATGGTGCCTCAACCAAGCAGCGAATAAGAAAAGCAGATGTGGGAGTGATAGATGAGTTGTGTGTGTGCTGAATTTGAAGTATCCATTGGTCATTGAAATTGAACTGTTTAGTAGGCAAGTAAACTTGAAAAAGGGGCTTGAGTAAGATATATACACATCAAGATCTGAGAAAGAAAAAGAGCGAGCAAGAGAATGAGAATATAGGTGGTAGAGCGTGTGGGAGGAGATGCCCTGCCTTCAGAGATCCAGT